CTGGTAGAAGTTCATTGTGTAGCCATAGTTGTCCTCATAGGTGTGCGCCAGATGGCGAGTGCGCGAGGGACGCAATCTGTATGTGAGCGCCATGGTTTTGGCAGAGATTAACGGCTAAGATTTTTGGTATAAAGTAGAGTGGGGGTAGCGGGGGATTGAATGTTTGTGGCAAGAGAGGCAATAAATTGTCGATTTGTAGCGAAAAGGAAGGGCTCGCAAGGCGCTGTTTTTGTGCACTGGTGAGACACAGCGCTTTCAAGTGTATTTGTGGTGTGAGTGTCTTTGGTTTGTTGGGGATCGATGATTCTTTTGTTTTGGCAGTGCGTCACAGTGCGACTTATGCCGAGTTATCTGCGTGTGAGTGAGTACAATTAGAGAATACAATTGCTTTGTACTTGAGATACAATTATTTAGTTTAAATTATTTCAGAAACATAAAAGGGATAGTGCAGCCCGAAGTCATCACTGCCGCGTTGTTGCAGCGAAGAAAGCAAATTTCGATCGAGAGTATCTAGCTGGCTGGCTGACGTTGATTTTCGCTTGCGTTATTTCGTTATATTTTGCTGTAGTCTGTTGCTTTAGCGCTTTCTGGCGTCATGCACATTCGCGATTTTCGAGTTTTGCTGAGTTTGGCTACTCTGCAGTTGGCTGCACAGCTTGCTGATGCGCTTTGCGTTGCGCTGGCCAAGGAAATAGTCGAATATTTGACGATATCTAAAAAAAGATTGAATGAATTTAAGTAATGCTTTCGTTGCCTTGGCCATAGCAAAACCATAATGGTCATATTTCAGTAGAGTCGACGAGCAGCGTCCACCTCCCCGCCTTCGCCTTGAGATGTCATAATGCGAAATATTTACGCAATTCGTGAGATCACGTGACGACTTGCGCTGCAATAAATGTATTTAGCAAGGAATGCGATGGACTTCCGCGTTCAGAACTATGACACTCAAGGACCGAGACGGAGCGGATATCTTTGCGTACCTTCCAGCTTAATTTGTGCACAGTTAGGCAGGTCAGAGTCGCAGCGTATCCTCTGCTTTATAGACCTTATATGTATCTAGAATTGAGTTCGCAGCTGTGGTGGTTGTGTAACGTTGGAGGTTGCTGAGTGTGGCACTAAAATTTTCGTAAGAAATTAAATTTTTTTCACTTCACTTTGATAATCCATATCAACACACTTACTTAGCATATAATCGCTTTCCGAAGTAATGTTTAAACGCTTTATAGTCAATATTAAAATATATGTAGGAAATTTTGGTTCCTAAAAATTTTCCACACTCGATTGAAAACTCTTGATTCGATGCTGTGTCCCCAATTATGCAAATCGTACTGATGCAAAATGGGTCAGTTAATGCAGTGTTGCTTTTTGCTATTGATCGATCAATTCGAATCGATTAAGTGCGAGGTGTAGTTGGTGTTTTTTTTGCGTTGAGGGAGGGGCGCATTGACACACATATGCATCCAACTTAATGCAGAGGAAGCAATCTTTTTTAGCATTGATAGTGTTGCCAGTTTCTGTGCCAAAAAAATAAGCCAACAATTGTCGATTTGATAAAAAAGAATTGTTGATTGATTTTATTTTGTTTTGTTGTTTCATTGACCTTTTGCGTTACGCTCACGTTTGGTCAAGCGGAAGTCGCGAATATTCCGGTTTATCTGTCCTATTTTTTGGCATGAGTATGTATGAATATTTACGGACATATATGTATGCAGGTATTACTAATTTTATGTTATATACATATATAGTATAAATGTTAATAAGTAAGAATATTTTGAAATGATCATTTATCTACAAAGCCGGATTTTGCTTAACTTTTCATTTCGACATCAAATCCATGACAAGAAACAAACCTATGCAACAGAACTCGTCAATTTACTAAGTTTATTGCAAGTTCCCCAATTTAGACTAGGATCTCTACTATGTGGCTGGTAGGTACCGCAAGCACCTCTGTGTAGTGAATAAGGTGCGCCAGACTGCGTGATTAAAGTTCGATGCGGAGAAACTCCAGCCACAACGGATAATCAATCCACGACAGTCGGGTCTACGTAACTGGAACGACCCAGATTTATGTCTGGCCCAGGACTGTAACTCCAGCATCACTCTCAAAAACCTCTTTGGGGAGTTTGTATGCTGTTACAACAACATCAACAACAACATCAATCCAGCTAAAACTAAAAACTTCCCATCGACTAGATACAAATGGGCACTGGTAATTCATCTTCCAATCTCTTCGTATCACGCGAGAGAAACTGGTCTGATGAAGAGTATCATGTCTCTGCTGAGTAGGAAAATGAGAGGCGAAAATTTAGATATGAAGGGGACAATTCCTCAACCTCATTCTTCAACCTCATTGAATACATAAGGATGAAGCTTTCGACCAAGAGGAGGTGAGAACATCAGCTGAGAAGTTCACAGTTGGCGGCTAAGACTACGTCGGCAACAGAATTCGGTCTGATGAATAATAATAATAGCTCTGATCCAACACTTTTCATATGAAATCCTGTAAAAATGTCAAATAGCAAAATTACTCTCTGAAGTTAGAGGAAAAGGTGAGTAACAACAAAAAGTACGGGAACAAAAAAAAAACATGTTTCTTGTAAAAACGTCAACCAGCGATCGTTTGACACTTTTAATGATTTTACCAGAAGAAAAAGTGCGGGTAAAATCTTGCAACTTCATTCTCTACATAGCTCTCCGAAAATCGCTCTCATTTACAGGATTTCGGAGTACGGGATCATTTTTCCTGCAACTTCCTGCAAGTTCATGCAGTACTGGATCAGAGCTAATAATTATTTTTAATTGTGGTGCACGCCTTGATGTTGTTACACGAATTGGTGGATCTACAGTTTCACGCCACCTCTTAACGGCAAATCAATTTGATGTGAAGCTTTTTTACGGCAGAAATACACTCGGAAGTTTGCAATGTCTGCCGAGGGGAAATTGCTATTCAGAAAAAAACCCTTTTAAAAGGNACCTTTAAGCACTTTTCTACAGATAAATACATGCGAGAAATTAAAACCACTGTGTTATTTCACAAGATGGGAGATCGTGCTGTTTGCGGAAATTATAAAGTCCTATCTTGAAGAAACTCGTTGGGCCCGACAATGTGGCTACAGACCTGGTCGGTGCATCAGTGATCAGATTTTCACAGTGCGTCAAATTTAATTCCGCTAAAAGAGAGTTTTGATTGCGATTATATTTATATGTGAACACACTTTTGCATATTTCTATTCTTATTAGCGCGGATATAGGATGGGTAATCAAATATAGGGAAATCCATTGTTATTATTCCAACTGCATTTCAAAACAATGCGTTGGATGGGATTGAAAATTTTTCCTTAAAACTGACTAGAATTTAGCAAATTGCAAAATACCGGAAACCATCCATAATAGAAATTCAATTGTTAAGTCCCGAACCTGCCCATCCCGTGGGTCCCGCAATCCATCACTAAAAGTAATTCACATATCTTTCAAATAAATTTAAAATAATAAAGAATCTGGCATATTCCGTTTGTTTTTTTGTCTTCCTTTTGTTTTCGTGTCAATAAAACATAAAAATGTGATTATTTCGTTAAATGTTTTTAAGAAAGGTGTTCTGAATTTGCGTAGGTTGCGGGTTCTATCGGGAGTGTCGGGAAAGTATTTCGGATCCGTCCCGCCAGCAAACTTTTTAAATACTTTCCCGATACCGCCCATTCCGGCCATTTTGAAATTAGAACCGTGGGTCCCGCAGGTCCCGATATCCCGCGCCCATCTCTAATCTAAAAACCTTTCTTTTTCCTTGCGATGTATTTTAGCATCGCTGCTGATCCTCCTCCTCCTCCTAAATTCCTCCTCTAAATTTGCACCCCTGTTTCCGATCCAATTGGCTATGAATACGATAACTCAAGCTAAGCGAGACCACTTAAGCTTAATTAAATAATTGTGTGAAGCTCGGTGATCGAAGAATGCATTGACAAAAAATGTAAAAGGCTACCCTTAGCCAACCTTACTTTTCTCCTGACCTTATCATGCATTCACCTGATCAAAACATGTGGGTACTTCAATAATTTAAACTTGATTTTTTTTAATAATATCTGCAGTTTTTACAAAAAGTTTTTCGTGATATAAGAATGTACTTTTTACATATGTACCTATAGTCGATGGTGTTAAAAATAGAAATAGAAGTAGTTGTGCTTTATGCTTTACTGCTATAGGGTATTGAATATTAGTCCCTGTTTGCTTTCCCCGTTGGCTTTTCTTAATCTCGAAATCACAATAAGCTTTTACTTAAGGAAACATAAAGATCGACTCACCGAATAGCCTCAATCTCTTCATCTTTCTCAGCTAGGCGGCGTTCGGTATCGTGGCGGTATTGGTTGAACTCAGATGACAAGCGTTGAGCGCGTTGCTCCTCAGCCTTGCGACCCTGCATAAGAAAAGAAAAAAAAAACATACGATTGCTTTATAATTTTGCTTAGAACGCAATTGCATTTGTTATACGTACAGCCTCAGCTTCCTTGTAGGCAGCAGTCAATTCATCGCGCTCGTTCTCCAAGCGGCGTAACTCCAATTCCAATTCATGCAAACGGCGGCTGTACTCATTGATTGTAGCCTTGGCTTCATGGAGATCATCTGCAATTAAAACGTAGACAGATTAAAACATCTCTCTCTCTCTCTCATCTCTCTCCACTTCCATGTACTCACCTCCTAATTTCTTGTTCTCACGTGCCAATTGGTTGTTAGCATCCTTGACTTTGTCCAATTCATGAATGGTGCGCTGCAAATCGGCATGCTTGTTCTTCAGGTCACGTTGGCTATTCTCGTACAAGACGATCGTTTCATCGAGACGGCTCTTCAGTTCAATATTGTGCTTCTCCAGTGTGTTGACCGATTTGGTCAATTCGCGGCAAGTGTTATTAGATTTCTCCAAATCGATAATGAGCACTTCAACTTCACTGGCCAAGCGAGTCTTTTGTTTCTCCAAGTTGTTGATCTTAACAATCAGTGTTTCAACATGTTCCTCAAGCTCGGTAATGCGCACTTGATATTTGCGACGGATCTCTTCGACCTCCTCAGCGCGGGCAACTACTTCGGTCTGGTATTTGTTTTGCCAGGTAATAGCATCGGCATTGGCCTTGACCAACTGACGTTCCAAGTCAATACGAGCTTCCGATTCTTCTTCGAGTTGAATGCGAGTCGAATCCAATTCGCTTTCAACTTGATGAAGGGAAGATTCCAACATTGAACGACGACGGTCTTCATCTTCCAAACGGCGGCGTGCATCTTCCAATTGGGAGACGACTTGACTCCTGGAATATGAGACTGTGTCCAGTTGGGACTTGAGATCTTGGACGTCCTTGATCAATTCAATGTTCTCTTGCGAGAGGCGGGTCTTGTGCGATGTGATGTCAATGACTGTGCGGTTCAATTCCTCAATTTTCACATTCAATTCAGAGATTGTCACTTCCAGCCTTTCGACATGCTTGCTGGTAACGATTCGCTCCTTGTTGTAGGATTCGATTTGAGAGAGATATTCGTAAATTTCGGCCTGGAATTTGGATTTCTCCTTCTCAGCCCTGATGGGTAAGAAAGTGATGCGGGTGGAGGAAATAAAAAAGTGATAATTAGTGATATTCAAGAAAGAGAAAGGCGTTAGAAATTATAATTTTTGATTAAAGAATACTTAGGCTGTAGCAGAAAGGCAGCGGAAGCGCTAAATCGGTTGGCTGTACCGGTGTATGCTTTGAAAATCTACATACTGTATTTAGCTGAGCTTAGTTTTGCATTGTGCTACAGATAAAAATCTTTCAGTTAGCCGACTTGTTTGACAACAGTTAATTTTTGTACGTGAAAAGCTATTTTGTGCATATTTTAATGCTAAAGGAAATAGTGCTGTGGCCACTGTGGCTAGGCGCTGGACTACCATTGAAAATATGCATAAAAGAGCTTTTTCAGTCCGAACTGAACAGTGCGGGTAAACTGAAAGATCGATCGACTGGAGCTTTTTGTGTGTATGCGCCACCAGCTCAAGAATTGGAAAATGAATAAAAAAATCAATTTAAGGTCATATTAAGTAAATGTATATCGTCATCATCAATGCAATTATAAATTTGGGATTTTTTAAATTTATGCCAGTAAAGTTTTTGGCTTTTAAAGACTCGCATTCGTGCATTCGGAACTTTTGCATTGACAGCGACGATATAGGACGACATTGAACGCTTATCATTTGACATAAATCTGCAAAGCACTTATGACTGATTTGTTGTTTTTCAAAAATATAAAATCACCTGTTTTACCAAGATTTCTCTGTGATACATTTCTTTTACCTATGAAGCTCACTAATCCGCTTTGAACTTCATAAAGTTTATGGTGGCAGTAGGATTGCCCGCCTGTTCAAAAAAGTATCGTATTTCCATAAAGGTGAATTTGTCAAAAAGAGACAACAACAATACAAATACACTAAATATTACTGAAATACTGAATCAAAGACATATTTGGATCGACAGTGCAGAGAAGCGACCGACCAACACCGCCGCGGCGGCCCATTAGCATTGTGTGGGCCGTGCGGCAAAAAAGGTGGCGACGTAAGTCGTGTGAAAAAATGTGTAGGAAAAATTCAAAATTTTCTAAAAATATCCGAACACATATTTCGCTTTTATACGTACGTTTTTTTGTGTAAGCAATGAACATTTAAGAAAAGAGAAGAAAACAATAAAATATGCAACAAAAAAAAGAGAAAAAGTTGCTTAGAGATTGTATTGAGTGGCCTGTTGGCCGGTACAAACGGAAGGTGCTTTTGCGGCCAAAGCTTTCGCCGCCGGATGGAGTGATCTTTCATGCCGAAAGGAAGCAAGAATAGTGCACATACACCGGTAGTGGGAGTGGGACAAATAGTTTGTGTCGTAAGCTCAATGCAACGGAATGCGCAAGACCACAGGTGAAAGCCCGTTGCCGACAATAGTACACGCACAAACAAATACTCGTAAATAGAAACGACGACAAGAGTAACACAGCAAAGCACAGAGGAACAGTGGATTTTATGTGGAAATTAAGTTTTAGAGTTAGCCAAAGTTTGAAAGGTTCCAGGTTTTGGAAATGAGGTGTCAACAGTTAGCGGAGTTCAAAGTAACACAGCTAGGCTACCATCTTCTGGGCAAAGCGCAGACGCGGTGAGCAGTGCAAAAGTGGCTCTCACTCGGCTTTTGCGTGTGTGTGTGTGTCAGTAGCCTTGAAAATCATTTCGACACAGATGTTTTATTTTTGGATTTTGGAAATATGAGATTTTAACGAACACTTTTCGCAATCGCATCTACAAACTGAGGTGCATACATAGATCGGTACTTAAATGTGTAATTACAATGTATGTACATACACAAACATTTCTCTATATTTATTTCGACAGATTTCGAATTTCCTAAGGCATTTTAATTTGTTCACGCGGATTTTTGTATTTCCCGCAACAATGGCCTTTCTTCAACGCTTGAAATCATCGATGAGTAAATAAGTCCATATGCAAATATTTGCAATATCTGGGGTCGCCTCTTCCCACTGTGCAGAGCGCAATGCACTCAATTATTTATTTACTTGTAGTGCAAATTTTCCGCACATAAAATGCACCGTTTTTTTCGTTTTTTGTTTTTTTTTGTATAAACACTAAACAAAATTTGCTGACTAGTGGCTGGTACATTTTCGCGAATTGGCAAACGGGGTCGCGTTGACCTCGCCAGTAGTCGGGCCAGTAGTGTGAAGCAGCTCAGCGCAATCACGGAAGTTGTCGCTGGAGAAACCCTGACCTTATTATTACAAAAAGCGTTGTGGCGCAAGCTTGTTGTCATCTTGTTAACGGTACTCGAGTAATTTCCCGCGCTGACTAAGCGTAGTGAATGAAGCGACTGCATATTTACAAGCGGAGCGGGCGTAAACTAACTGCGTGTACAAGTAAAACTTACCTAGACTTCGCTTTCGTTAGGATTTCGATTTGTTCTTGGAAATCCGAGATAATTTCGTTGTGCTTCTTCTTCAGAAGAATGGCAGTTTCTTCGGATTCGAGGTGGACATCCTCAAGCATTTTGCGGAGCTTCAACAATTCAGTGTCACGTTTGCGATTTGCCTCGAACTAAACGTAAAAGCATATAGGGGAAAAATACCATTAAAATCTCAAGAAATAGTTTTTTTTTATGTATGTATTCAGTTTTTGCTCACCTGGTGTTCAGCGCCACCTTCTGCTTCCTCAAGACGTTCGGACATCTGGATGACCTGAACGCTGAGATCGGCCTTATCGCGCTCGATCTGCAAAATTTGGTATGCATTAGATGATAATTAAAAAAACAGTTTATGTAAAATTCTTCTGAAAGCAGCTTCGAATAACAGAAATTCACAAAATATGAACAAACCCAACAAACATTTGGGTTTGAGCTCAACTTGAGGTTAAGTTGAGAACTAAGGTCGTTCTCAAATCTCCAACGTTGTTTCTCAACAGTACCTCAAGTGGAGGATCATAGCGTTCTCAACAAAAAGGGCATTTTTCTTTGTATGGAAATAGGACTGTTACTCAAGTTGAGAAAATGCTAGTTCTCGACTTGAACTCCAATGTGATTCTCCAATTGGTCTCAAACATATCACTGAAATTGGAATAGTTCTGTAGTTTATCGATATCGTAATCTCTATACAGTATACAGTCCGACAGTAATTTTACCACTCGATTCACTTCGCGTTTTGTTTTCTTTGAAGACTGTCAGGCCGATTCTGAACAGAAACTCCCTGGGAGTTTTTTCTCTTTCCCTTTCCTCCTATCATGAATAAAAATTCCCTGAGAATTTTTTATATTAAATGGCGGAGTTGAGCTGTCAAAAATGTGCCAAACAGGTCTTTCGAAGTTCGAATTTCCTACTCCCGAATTTTCGGGGGAAATGCTACTCCCTGGGAGTTAATTTTTGGATGATTTTTTTCTCGATAAACAAATTCCCGGAGAACAAACTGCCCGGGAGTATTCAGAATCGGGCTGTATTTTGAATATACTTTGAAGATTATTTACTTTTTGTTGGTAATTTTCCCCTTTATGTATATATAGCTTTAGTTTTTCACTTGATAATTAAAAATTCCTCTATCCTCTATCACTTTTTAGGTATGTATCTGCGCGTCGGTTAGAGGTGAGCTGGAGAATGATCTTGGATATCAACTTGAGAACCATAAATTTCTTCAAGGTTGGAGAAATACTTTTTTGGTGTTTCTTGGGATGAAGTTTTATGTACATACTATACAGACATGCATATGTTTTTACGCTGTATTTTTTAAGAATTTTTTTTTGTCAAAGGATTTGGGAAGACATCTTAAGTAATTAAAAAAACTTCACTTATCCAACTTCGATAGTTATAATTAGGGCAACCAAAAATATGCCATAAAAACATGATTTTAAGCGCCTAAAATATCCACGATATATAAGAAATATGCCAAAATATGCACGAATAATCAGCCTCATTGCGTAAGTCGTAAATTAGGCTAAATTGTACGACTCGACAACATTGGCATTGTTTACTGTCGTGCTGAAAAAATTAAACGACGAAATTTGTCGAAAACTATACAGTGCTGCCAAGTTTTTCCGTTTTAATACACTAGTCGAGTGGAAATTTATGCAATGACGTGAAATTTTCGCTACGATTCGACTCTCGAAAAACGACTTGCATTCGACACGACTCTCGCAATGAGGGTGAATATCAAAAACATGCTTAAAATATGGATTTAAAAAAAAATTAAAAAGCTCAATTTTTCTTGTGTAAAAAATCTATTGAATTTTATTCAAAAATGTACAAAAACACTGCTAAAAGTAAAATGTTAAACATTTAGTGCGTATTCACTAACATATGTATAGAAATAAGAACGCAAATTTAACTTAAATATTTTTCTTGCAATAAATAACAATATTCGGATAAATTTTCGGAAAGAAATGATTGCCTGTTATCGCGGAATACATTCTTAAACATGGAGAAGGGTCGAACTTAAAGGCAGAAATTTCAGTCGCTGTATATTTTTCAATCGGATGAATTTAATTCAATTTAGTTTTCCTTCAGCTCTCTTAATAAATTCCTATCAGGCAGGTTCTGCAATTCACTTCCGAGTGAATTTCAGCCAAAGCCACTTCGAATTCATATGTGCCGATAAAGTCAATGCTGCTAGTGGCAAAAAATATTATTCAAATAATAAGCACAAATCCAAATTAAAATTGATTCGAAGTTAATTCAATATTCTAATGGTAACGCCGAACAAGTGCCCGCAATGTTGTCCTCAGAAATTCGTCAAAAGCTGTTTGCGCAGGTAACCAGTGGAGGAAAAAGTGGAGATTTTATCTCGTTGCAACATCCAATGGATCAAAATGCAGCATTTACATGGAAAATATTTGTATTTTCTGATTTCAGTTCTTTCAAAACAGAAAGCCATGCACTTATTAGATGTCTTGGGCAATAATATTATAACAAAAAACGTTTCAAACCCGTTTCAGGTAAGTGTGATGCTTGCCGTTAAATTTTTCATTAGCCTGTAGGGCTCGGCAATTTTTATTCACCCCATAGTTGTCAAAAATTTACCATCCAGATTAGTTTTCTATCAATTCGCACAGGCCCTATAATTAAAAAATAAAACTTTTTCGTATATGCACTAAATTTAGCATTTATTTCAAAAATATGCAAAAAAATGCATTTATTGCGAAATATGCCGAAATATGTTCTAGCAAATATGGCTAAAATGCGTTATTTTTTTACAATTAGCATTTCCTTTTTTAGATCACAAACAAGTAGTTTTCATGAAAGTCTAGTACATAGGTTTGTTAAACATTTCCAGTATGCACTAGCAGCGAGAGGGAGTGTAATGTTCCAAATGCATTTCTGCATCAAAAATAAAATTTTGAAGAAATGTCGCTTACGCCGTTTTAGTGGTTACGGCTCGATATGTTAATGTTTTTTTATTATTATTTTCAGAAAATTAGTGCTACAGGCTTTTGCCAACTTAGTCATGGGGAGATGCTTAAAAGTGATCTAAACGTGGATGCCGATTTTTCAAAAACAAATCAACATGAGCAATGATACACATTTTCACCTAAATTGATACGTTAACAAACTACTCACTGCAAGAAAAACTATGCACCCACAATGAGACACTGGGCTGAAGAAATAAAAAGTAAGCAATTGATTTTTCTTAAAATTTCAGGCCATTTTTGTGCCGAAAAATGTCGCCTTTTCATTGCCTTTTCTCTTTTCGCGTACGATTCTAAAATAAAGGTAAATGGTGAAAAAATTTCGTGTTCGTTTCTTAAAATGTCACACTCTTGTGGGGCAAACAAGGCACATTTATCTGCTCTTTGAAGCCTTGTCGGTGGAGATTGTTGCCCTCAAAATTAGACGGTTGCTTAAAACGACAATATTATGAAATCCGTGACAATAAGCCAAAAACATGCTCTTTTGCAGGGTTGAGTGTAACATCAAACACATTTTGCACCGTCAGATGGTAACATTTTTTAAATGAAACGAAATCAGCATTAAATTTATTTGAATAAATCGAGTTATTAGTCTGAAATTTCAAGAAAAAGCAATTACATAATAAGTTTTTGTTCATATGTCCCGCTGTTTGGTGTGGTTTTTGGGCAGGCGGAGTTATCGGAAGATAAATAGGTACTTCTTCGAAAGTGATGCCTTTAACGGTGCAGCGGACGTTATCGTAGCATGATAACAAATTCATTATGACCTGAATCAGATGACGTGTACTTGGACAATATGTGGTTTCAATAGCACGGTGCCACTTGTCACACAGCGCTTGAAACAATGGCCCTATTGCGAATATTTGCGGTATTATTGACGTTATACGCAAGTTGACACAGGTACAGTTAAATTCAATAGTTCGAAAAGACTTCCGTTGTTATTCAAGAAAGCCTTAACAAATCTCAAACTCCGTGCGTAATTCAGCACAAGGATATTATAACATCGATCACCTAACGGTTGCTTATAAAAACCTAAAGGAATCGGATAGTTATAGACATATTTACATATACCAAAATGATAATGAAGTGAGAAATCGATTATGCTATGCCTGTCTGTCTGTCCGTCAGCTTGGCATGACATTGGGCCTGTGTGGCCTTTTTTAAAAGTCTGGATACAAAAAGAAACTCGATGTTTGGGTATTTCGTCAATTAATTTCGAGAATTGTGATAAACAATTTTAAACTAAATGTAATTGAGTCAGTTGTGGAGCGTATGGTTCCTGCATATGAAGAATCGATCACATACGGCCATAACGTGCAAAACAGGTCATGGGGCAAGAACGATGAAACTAGGCAAACAGTTCCGAAACAAGTAGTGACCTCTCGTAATTTATTTTGTTCCATCAGACACAAGTTTGATGACTCAAAAAAGCCAAGGGAACTTGACTGGGAAGTTTTGATGCATCTACAATATGTCGCCAAGTATCTACCCTAGGGACCAGTTTCTCAGTGCTGATTTAAACTTGGTTTACATTCCGTTTACTTAAACCGAATTTTTACGTAAACTAAGTTTTCCAGTGCGAGTTTAGGCCGTTTCATAGTTTGGTTGTTTTGTAGGGCAAAATTGTTTTTTTTTTGAGTATGCAGATTTGTAGCCCAATCAATTTTTTTATAATAAAGTACAAGTTTTAAGTAGCTAGGAATTACCGTTGCTTTTTTGGAAACTTTTTTCACGCAGTATCTTCCGTACAAAATAATTTTCGAAAGTACTTTATATGGAAAAATGCAAAACACCTTAAAAAAATTTCAAAAATCAATGCGATTTTTGACCAACTCCGCTCTTCCAGCTTTTTTACTACAATATAATGAGCTACAAAACTGCGTACTCAAAAGAAATTCAAAAAAAAAGTTTAAGATTAAAAAGTTGAAAATTTGCACGAAAATTTGCTGAATTTTCGGGAGTTTTGCACAAAGCTTAGGAATTATATTTTTATGTTTTTTGTTGTAGAATGAACCATATTTTTACAAAAAATTGTCGGAAAAATATTAGAAAAAAAATGTATGCATATATTGTGAAAAATTTGCTGTGCCAATACTTTTTGCCGGCAGTGTACATTAGTATGGTCCAAAAATGCATGTGAAAAAGTAAAGTCGGAATTTCTATACTTTTTCTGAATTTTACTGTTAGTCAAAGTACCTGTCCACAACACCCACTGCAATTACGGCAAATTTTACGCTCAAATAAAACGTTTTCAAAAAGGATGACATTTATTACATTTAATTTTTGCATGGCATACCATGAAAATGCAATGGCATAATGCCAA